AAACAAAACAAAAAAAAGTCAACGAGATGGCAGAATGCATCTGTCATGAAATTGATAGCAACGACTTTCGACTTTATTGCTTTGACATTAAATACGTCCGATTGGACGTTCGAGAGTAAACTGGAATAAATGGAATACAAATGTCGCGATAAAATTGTTCACGTCGACGTTATCCCTTGTAATTGTTGTATTCTAGATGATTTTTGTTTCTTTTAACAATTGGAATTTTATTTTTAATCTCATTAGCTATCTATAACGAGATATTTACATCGGTAATAATAAGTAATGATACCGCGATCTAACCGACGGGTTATAGCATAATGGAATATAAATGATGAAATTACTTAAAGCGCTCACGCGTTATAGAGAATTCGATCGTTACATTTGTTACTACGATCATTTGTCGAGTTACGATATAAACGATTTCGATACGACCGATGACCCATCAAGGAAATTCATCATCTACCCATACCACCGTTCCATCGTTCGACTTATCGGAGACGTAATTAATGTTCCTTCATTAAGCGACCTATGGTAATTTGCATTTGGCCGATCTTTCGATTGCAATACTCCATGTAACGCGTTAATGAATAGTAAGATTCTAATAAGCGATCGTATAATAAAACTTTTTTAACATACTTCTCGAACTTTCGTAGTGTTACTTAAACGATTTCCGGATATTTCGTTATATTTATTTTCAAATTAATTGAAAGAAAAAAGATAAGACTAGCAGAAAAATTTGATACGAAATATGATAAGAGTGATAGAATTCATTAATATTCAAATGTTTATGTTTTATCGCACAAATCATGCAGTAATTAATATTGATATATATTATTCTCATTATTTAAAATATAAAGAATTTAACATCAAGAGTCTGACTTGAAGTTCGCAATTACAGACGTAATAAAAGTCATTAGAAACGATCAGAAGCGACCCCATAGAGAGTATAGGACTCCACCAATTAATTAAACGGCGCTATTAATAGAAGCTATCTTAGTCGTACACGTTGTTATAATACATTCGCGTGGTATAAAAGTTATATTATAAGGTAAGAGATGGATGTTTTATAAAAGGGAACACCAACCGGTCGGGCCACCGTTCTTGCAAACCTAATTTTTTTCTATATATAATCTAGAGTTATAATTATTCGTAATATTAACTGGCCAATTATTACTCGTTAATTAAGTGCGACACGGTTATTTGCATTCTTGCTTTATACGTGGTTCATTCGATTTTCATGAGAGATGGCAATGCAAAATAAATAGAAAGAAAGAAACAAATCAAAAGAAATAGTGAGTTGTTATTCTGTTTTCTCTCTTACATCGCATAGAAGCAAAGTCTCGCATCTTAATTCTCCCTCCTTTATCGTGAGCAAGGACTCCCTTTTAATCGATCTTTCTGCTCGTTCTAGTAGAAAGAGTCGCGATACGGTGCGACTCTAACAGCAAAACGGTTTATTAGAATCAAAAGGTATTAAATTGTACGGAACATCGTGTAGAACGGAAATTGGTAGCGAGTAATACAAGCTATATCTAACGAGTCTCCTTTGAGAATCAGAAAGTAGTCTCGCGAGTTAAACGCTCGTCTTAGGAAATGGATTATACTGCCTGATAAACTAGGAAACAGTTAGAACTAAGTGTAGAAAGGATTTAGCACGCTAAAGGATTATAACGTCCATTGTATCGAATACAGGATTCGATTTAATTGACCTTAGTTCGAAGCTCGTTGTACCTCGTTGAAGACTTCTATGTATGTATGTATGTATGCATGTATGTATGTATGAGAAAACGATGTTTATTCTTTCCTGATTTGGAAAATTGAATGCGCATGATTTTCTTATTTGGATATCGTAGTTTCCTATGAAACTTCATTTATATTTCTTTTCCTTACCTCAATCTTTTTTTTTTATTAAAGAACGATCCAATAATATTTTCGAAAAGTACATTGAACCGATCAAAGTCTAACTGGTTTCGTAACACTTACAAGTTTAAAATTCTTCGAAAATGCCGTTAAATATTATCGTATATACCGTTATGAATAGAATTTTCGGTCATTACCACTGAGACATCGAATATTTATACATATTTGATAACATCTTCGTTAACGAAGTCATATTAAATGTATACTATATTACGATACATTTATATTCAACGAGTGATATGTGTGTGTGTGTGATATATCTTTCGAAATAAGTTTCATAAGATGAAAATGGAAACAAAGCGGAAAAGAAATTGTTTTTTATTAAAAATGTCTTACATCCTCAGAACGACGAAGAAGGTAAGACAACGTTGACAAAGTTGGTATAAGGATCTCTTTTATTCTATCAATTGGTTTTTTGTCACGTTATAAGATATATCGGATCAAAAACAATACTTCCTTCGGATATGAACTCGATGACGATAGTAATAATAATAATAATAATAAAATTAATGTTAATGAGATAAAATAATAATAACAATAAGAAGAATAATAACAGTAATAATGAAGAAGCCGATGATGTGCGAGAAATAGGCTACGTGACTTTGTGTTAAAGAGCTAAGGCATTTCTGTAATCGTCGGTAATTGGCGCGTAAGTAACGACCGAGGGCTTTTTTGTCGACTTTTACACGCGAGAAAACAAACGTGCACGGTTAATCCCGAGCGCATGCGTGCCCGCGATTAAACAACAAGCGTGTGCACTATTTACAATTCATTGTGCGTAGAATGAAACTAAGGTTTGTCTCGTTAAAGTTTATTCTATCATTGAGAAAGAAAAAGAGATGGTATAAGAGAAAAATTCATTACTTGCTATCTCGAAAGAAAGAAAATCCATGAATGCCATTTCCATTAACGGAAACACGTCGAAAAAGTTTTAATCGCGTTGGTCCCTCGAGAAAATTCTGTCCAAGGTAAGGGACATTGCACTTGCCATTGTTATATTTCTTTTCAAAACTTACGAAGATCGGAATGAAAAAAATGATCTCTTGGATTTTCGTTTAAATAGAAAAATGATAATCTCTCTATAATACGTTGACTTTTTCTATTTGTCAAAACAATATTAATCATAATAAATCTATCGTAATATTAACGATAAGATTGTAATATACGTTTATGAAATCCATGAAATAACTGTCAGGAACTTGTGTTTATCGTAATCACCCACGTATCGCCAACGCAAATTTCCCACACGTTCGAGAACGAATGTTGTATAAAGTGAGGAAAATTTTATGAAAATAATCTTTGAAAAAATTCATAAAAAAGAAAAAAAAAGATATATATATATGTATCCTTATAAGTAAGGATATAGAATGTAAATTGAAAATCATCAACGTGACTCTTGTCCCATAACATTACCTGGATATTTTTTGAACGATGACACCAAGTGGCCTAATTTCTCCGGAGACGGAGCATGTCTTCGTGGATGACATAAAAAAAGTCAAAGATAATAAAACTTTCACGTGAAAAATCTGCCTCTTATTATCATGATTTCAAATTCGACCAATTGATGATCGATCATCGAGAACTTCACTGAATTCAGTAATAATAGCACCAAAGGCTCCAATCAAAAACGTTCCCTTTCGATCGATCGTCCGTTCTTCGAGACGGTCGGAGGTTTACTGACACCGGCGCTTCCACCTGCTTGTAACTCCAACCAAGTTTACCCGAGTTTATCCCCCGATGCGTCACACGCGCGCGCAACCAAACTCCTGACTACGAGGGAAGAGACACACAAAACGAAAGAAGACTATACCTAGTTGATAATCAACCGTTTTCTTGTCTTTCCTATCCCCTCTGCTCTTTTATTCCCCCTCCTCTACCCCCTTTTCCTGATCCTTTCTATTTCTCTTTCTCTCTCTCTCTCTCTTGTTCTTATATTTAAGGTGCATATAAAACAGATGTATATAGGATACATCTGATAATACTTGGATGCTTGCTTGCTGGACCGGCCTTCTCGTGACGCAGCGGATGTTCACGGAGATCATTATCCTTGATAATCTACGTTCAGTCAAGAAGACAGCAATGTGTTTATTTTTTCTTTTTTTTTTTTTTTTTTAAATCTATCTCGTATAATGTTTACGCCACCTTCTTCACTACCTACTTTTTTCTAATATTAAAAAATGAAAATGAATGGAAGTATACTCTTATGATAGATTCAAGATAGTTTTTTCTTTTGTCACGTTTTATGTCTATGATTAAATCAACACACGATTTTTTCATTTTGTAATATGAAAAGACAATATTTAGACAAGATCAACTTTTTTTTAATGTTCGTAGGTATTGTTATATATGTATATATATAATTTATGCAAATTTTCAAAATGATTTTGTGTTTCTCGAGAGTAATATAAAATTATTAAAAGAAAATTGATCGTTTTCTTTCTTTAACATTGTGAGATTGTTGAAAAACAATTAGATAATACAAATTTGTATATAATTCTGGTCTATATATGAAATAATCATCGATAATTTCTACCAATTCAATTAAACAGCGTTCTACTACTTTCAATAATATATTTCCCTCGATTATTAAAAATAAGCTTTACTTTTACTGTTCAACGATCATTCTTACTCAATTAATAAAATAACAAAATAATTAATTAATTACGTATTCGTATTATAATACTGTTAAAGTTCACTACTACTACCGTCCAACTATATCTGCAATTAAAACCAATCTACTTTCCCGGGTAAGCATGCAAGCTGAAAAGGGATTTACTATTACCAATTAAGTACCAAAGCTGGTAAAACAGAAATCTAGTAATACTTAAAGAACATATAAATCGATATGTCAGAGACTGATTATTACTAGCGATGTTACCGATTCTAAATCCAACATCTTAGCTTTTGTTACTCGACAAAGAAGTACTCTACCATTACCTCTCAATGTGCAAACAGCTACCTTACCGACTGCATCTAAAACAGCATCTTACTGTTTTTATTTTTTACATCTCGATATATAGCACATCTACTTTATCAACGTTAAATACTAAGGAAAGGTTGAATTGAAGAAATCTTACCTATCGAATGCGAGGCTGTCCTGTCGATAAGCACAATCGTTGCAACCGCTGCATCTTGACGATAATTCTGTTTCTCGATCGATATCATCGCAATGGCTTGGAGTTTTTCGATGATCAGCGACCATAGACCAAGTTCGATGAATAAGGTATAGCAAATAGAGTGGTTTATTGCGTCGGCAAGGTTGCGATCTTGTATTCCCCATTATGCTCAAATTTGTTTGATACCTTCTTTAATGACTCTTTTTATCTTTCCGCAAGAGGAAACATCCGATAAAGGGTATTAGGTATTTTTCGTTCATTAAATTATCACATTTGTAATCTCAATCCTAATTCAAATAGACAACCATATTATTCTGTTTACACGAAATATATTACGCTATGCAAAACTTTACGATTACCACGATAGCATGACTCGGTCACCGGAGGTCATGAGATCTTGAGATTACAGAATGGTATGACTTCAATGGCTCTGGCCTTGAAACATGTTCCTTTGCCTTTATATCATGGTATACGTAACACTTTCCAATGCAATCATATGGCAGTCATTCACACTTTTTTGATACTCGTAACATGAATCGTTAGTAGATACACACACCTGTTATTTTATATTTGATTATCTTTCTTCTGGTATATATATATAAGTTATATTTTCACACACAGTTATGGTATATCTTTAACATGAAACAACACACAATTATACTAGCTTGTTTAAATTTTCGTAAGAAAAATAATAACTCTGTCGGATGGTATTTGGTCACACGTTATCCTCCTGTCCCCTTCAAGTAAGATTATCGCTATTCTTGTATCACATTGTTCCTTTCCTGCAATAGTGTTTACACTTGCGTAATTACAGGTCGAGGCAACGACACGAAACTAGCATTTACGGAACGGCGAGTGCTGCACTTCCTCGAGCAGCGAAAGGACTAAAAGTCGCGCTTTTATGAACCGAGTTTATTAAGATATTGCGCATAGGACGTCCATAAATTATTCTCACGATTCGTACGTGGGAACGTAGTACGTTCATGTAATTTCATAGTTTCATCGCGAGGCCCGTACGCGAACACACCCCGAAGCGATACGACTTTCTTGCTCATCGCTATTAACGAATGAAGAATTACTATACGATAAGAGAAGAGGGTATTTCGTTGTTGTAATTTTCCATAAGAAATTTCATAGATAAATCGATTGTTAAATTTCTTTTCTATTATATAGTTTCATAATCAATTTATCATATTAGTGTATCAAAATAAGAATAAAAAAAAATGACTCATTGAATGCACGATTCCACTATGGAATTTCTCTGCTTTCACGGTGAAGACACTACCCACGTATTCCACTCTCTAATTCAAGCCCATCCTACGAGTTTACGAAGACATAAAGCATCATGCGATCCTTCTTCATCTTCTTTTTTTTTTTTTTTCGTCCGTGAAGACGTGCAAAAATGAAGTCGGCGTTTCCTGTAATTTTATTTTACGTATCACGAAACACCATCATTTTCTTCTATAAAATGCACATATTTTTTTTTTTGTTTCCACAATTTATTCCGATCACGTTTTCAATAATATTCATTTCACGATTAACGGTATTTTCGTTTCCAGGATCACCCGCGTTGTTATCCCTTGTATTGTTCGATTTATGTACTTTCATGTCCCGTAGTAGAAACCAGTAGCAACCTTTTGTCGTGGACGAATTTACACGTCGTTAAATACACGTTGAAAGAAAAAAAGGTGACCGTTAATGTCGTTAGAAGTGAAAAACGTGTCTCCTATTTCGTAGTTGTCGTTTTCGTCTTCTTCGTCGTCGTCTAACGAACGGATTCCCATACTTTGTGCAAGAAGTATGACGACGTTCGCTCCTTTCAAGCGGTCCTACATCCTGTCGCGCACACCTCAGACACAACGAAAGGTAATCTTCGTATAGTTATTTTTCTTATTCTTATTCTTCTTTTCCTTTAAATCATGGATTTACGTAAGATTACTAGTATACTATTGTTCAGTTTGAATAGTCTACGTCGAGTAGCACTGTTTAACATAGCACGTATCGATATACATTGCTTATTTTGTTCTTGCTTATTTTTTTCTTCTTCTTTTTCTTCTTCTTCTTCTTCCACGTTACCAACTATGAGAGAATGGAAAATGGAATACTTAAAATCGTTAAGGATACTCTTACATTACCAAGCGCGCGTGATCATTAATCTTTCTCAGCGATCAATCGGAAGTACGTTAAGCGGAAATGAAAATAATGAGCTTAAAACTTGTCGGTAATCTCGATCGTTATTTCATGCGCGATAGAGTCACCTACTCGTAAATATCTATTTATTGATGTAATAAAGAACGTTACTACGTGAAAAACTCGAAGTTTCATTAGCATAATTTTCTTATTTAATTTTGTTATTATTTTTTTCAAAGATAACGCGCGAATCGAAGAAATGGATCGGCTTTCTCGTTGGAATGACTAACGAAAAAGAGTTCGATAACCTTGACGTTAGGCAATCGACTAACGAAATTAAAAGAACGGTTAGCTGAGAAATTGCCTTGCATTACGTTGCAGTGGCTAGTGCATCCTTTGCTAAACCACATCGAACGACGTAGCCGCGTGAAAAGAATAAATTGTTTTTTTTTTTATTCCACAGGAAAGCCCACTGATCTACTGACACGCGAAAAACTCTCTAAACCGTTACGTATTACGCATCGGGAGCATTAGTAAAAGCCGTTTAAATTATTTTTTCTACTCAACTTATCGTGCTGGAAAAAGAAAAAAAAAATAATAATCACGAAACGATACGCGGTAATACGAGGAAAATTTCTTGAACGCATCGACAAAAATGAAACGAACGAATTGTCGATTGTTCATTATATTTCATATCAATGTACGCGCAAAATACATTAACGAAACAATGTACGGTAAATACATAAAATGAAAAATCGTGATGTCAAACTAATACATTATAATTACCATCGACGATAATTGTCATTTAGATTTGACGAGAGACGCTTATGTTTACATAGCTTATGATTTTTTAGTCCACATACTACGCTTTCTCACGATTAATAATCTTCACTGACAACTATGTAAACGTAAAAGAAAGCTTTGTAAAAGGCTATTTAATACGATGTTACATCTATATTAACTTCGAAGTTGCAAGTTAATAATAATCTATTTGATTACGCATCAATCACTTTTTATACAATCTCCTTTTACGGCTTCTTAATATAAATCTCGAGATAATCATAAATAAAAGAGAAGAAAAGAAAAAAAAAACTAAAGTCCGAGATAATAATTAGAGGGAATCGTAAAACTTTATATGGTAACTTTAACGAGGGTCTCATTAATCCCGTCGATGAAGCGTCATACCGACCAGTGAATAAGCTTTCTTCCCACGTAAGACGAATGGCTAAGCAAATTCTCGAGGTAAACGAGAAGCCGATCCACTTCGCACGTTCGCACTATCTCGAGAATAAACTCCGATTATCTCGCTTGAAATTCTTATCACGAGTATATTAATCCAACAAGAATATATTTCCTTATTATTATATTAAAAAATAATGAATGATATATCTAAGAAGAAATGTGACAATAAAAGAATATATATATAAACACTAAAAGGTAATACTCGAAATAATATTGTTGTCACATGTCACGATTATCTCGCGCAATAAATGTCGAAAGGTAAACATCTTTAACATCTCTCTCTTTCTCTCTCTTTCTTTTAACTCTTTCTTTATCTTTCTTACTAACAATTTATCCTTTATCCTGTCTCTCGTAAGTAAGAAGGCACTTGGCTCAATCGAGGAGCCGGTATTTTCTCGCTTTTAAAGGACAGATCGTTGAGGATTCTTGAGAGATCAGGTCTGACCTTTTGAGCCCGTCGAAAAGTCACGCGAAAGAGGAGTAGCTCTCTTCTCTCTCTCTCTCTCTCTCTCTCTCTCGAATAGGAGCCTCTCTTGAGGCATTCACCGTGCGAGTTTCGAGAGCCGACTGTCGAGCCGCAAATGCCCGAAGGTGCACGTGCACAAACCGTTGCCCCTCGTCCTCGCCTTCTCTCTCTCTTTCTTTCTCTCTCTCTTTCTCTATTTCTGCTCTTTACTTCTCTCTTATTCGCCAAAGCCTTGGAGAACGCTGGATCTTCTTCTTCTTCTTCTCCTCCTCCTTCTTCTTCTTCTTCTTTCAACCGGTCGCCGCTCATCGTTCGCCACCTTTCAAGCAACTGCGAAAAGGGCTATAAGCCCTCGGACTCGAATCGAGATCTTAGCCTTTCGATTCTGTGTTCTGTTGACCGTCGGCACGTGAACCAGATTTTACAAGGTTACCATTCGCCCAGCTTCTCCAAACCGGCTAAATTCTTCGCATTGGTAACCTCTTTACGAAACTACTCTTTAACATTCTCTTTTTCTTTCTTTCAATTCATTTTTTTTATTTTTCCTCGACACAACGTTTTAACTTGCTCGAACTTTACGAATTCTTTTTTTCTTTTTTTTTTTTCTTGTAATTATTTCTGTACTTGAATTTTTATAATAATTTTACAAACGCGCGTATATGCGTGATTAATGTTGAATAACGTCAGATCGATAAAATTCACATAGTTGTAATATATTATAGTTGAGAAACGAACGTGATACTACATTAGACAAATGGCGTGATGGCGATAGCGAACAATTTAAAACGGGACTGTAACTCATTATTGAAATTACTTCTATCGTTCTTACAATTAGTCGTTAATGAATGTTGTAACTTTAAATATGTTATATCGAGCTAGCGATAATACAAATATTTCTATGTTAGAATATATATTATTATTTGTATATATGTAAGTGTATACATGGATATACTTTGGATGTCTCCGTAGTTACAGCTTCGCCAGTTTGCGAAAGTAAGTGAGGTTTGCTAATGAGAGATAATCAAGTACCGCTCGAAGAAAAATATCAGCCACGAATATAACTTTCGAAAGAATAAAATTCTATTTAACGGCGTTTAACGAGCTAAAAATATTGGATAAGAAGTTTTCTACTTCGTTATAAATTATACTTTCATTAATTATCACATTTCTCGTGCCTTTTATAATATCGACTTTTAAAATCGATAAAAATTCCAAGACATTTGAAGAGAAAGATCGATCGTTATACTTCTGTAATCGAATATACAGTTACAACAGCTCTATCAAGATATCAGAAACGTCTCGATTAATCGTGATAAATTATCTTCAACCGATCAAGAGCAAAGAAGATTATGAGTTTCCATAGTACGATTTAGTTCAAACGATAACTTAGGTCGTTTTTACCTTTTTCTCTCTCTCTCTTTCTCTCTTTCAAGATTATTCATTAAAAGTACCGGAAAGTCTTGTCAATTTAACTATAAAATTTCTAACGCGAATATAAGACAAAAAAATAATAAATATATTTAATCAACGAAACACGACCACCATCATTTTCAATCATCTTTTTCTATCTTTCAAATAAAAAACTATTTTCCAATACGTCTAATAAATAATGCATCTTATGTGCAAATTTTTGAACGAAATTTTGTGTAGGTTACATTTAGCGTTGGTTGACCCATGTCTCTAATAAGATACTAATGGCCAATGTAAATCTTATGTTAGATGTGGATGGCTTCGGGTTTTACAAGCTGACGGCTTTTTGCCGTAAGTTGAGTTCACCACTGGTTGTGGAAAACCGAATCTTCTTCTCTTATCTATTTCTATCTTTCTCTCTTATTCTCATAGAACGTTCGGATTAAAGCTTAAGACTAGCTATAGTGTACACCAAGCGAGACGTAGAATCTTCTCTAAGGTATATACACATGTATTATATATATGCGTGTATCTAAGACCCTAGGAAAACTCCTACGATCCAGAGACGATTAGGCTTACGGGGCTGACCTGAGATAAGCGTTCACACTCGTGTATCATTCTGTAAGAACTAACGTAACTTCCGGGTGTCTGCGAGATCTTCAGAGAACAAGGAAGTACTGTGGAGGAGGATATGCTAATGAACGATAAGACCAGTTTCCTAACAATTCCGGCGTCACGCTATAGATTTTCGTAACGTCACTTCGATCCAATTTCAGACGTTTCGAGATCGTGTCAACTAAACGACTAGAAATTGTCACGAGATATCTCCTACATTGTAATACTTTTAAAATGTATATGTTATATAGAATAAGTAAATTCCCAGGTGAAAGAACTTTCTATTTACTGACCGCATAGAACTTCAAATCATTCATACGAAACGGTTTATCTAATTTTA